TAAACACAAACACACATCCTTCACACTCCACACATTGAACCGAAAACCCCCGACAACACTCCAATACTGTACCATACAACATAATTCAATGGAGTTACTGCCCTGGGATAGAAGCTGTTTTTCAGCCTATTTGTCCTTGTTTTTATGATCCTATATTGTCTGCCAGATGGCAATAGTTCAAAAAAAGGGTGCCCAGGATGAGAAGGATCTTTGAGAATGTTTTGAACTTTCTTAAGGCAGCAGGAGCTAAAAAGCTCTTCCAAAGAGGGCAGAGGGCAACCAATGATTAATAATATAGTGATAGCAGCAGCATCTAAAAATGCCAAATTGTACAAAGATGGCATCAAGATTCTCACACACACACACACACACATCTATGTATATTAATCACAGTCCATCTTAAATATAGAGTGGGAAAGAGAGTCTTGAGAATTTACAAGGTTGATACTACAGGTAGTCCTCAACATACGACCACAATTGACCCCAAAATTTATGTTGTTAAATGAAACATTTGTTAAGTGAGTTTTGCCCCATTTTTTTAAACTTTCTTGCCACTGTTGTTAAGTGAATCACTGCAGTAGTTAAATTAATTGGGGGGAACCCAAATGTCTGCAGTGATAAGGCAGGATAGAGACTGGCAGTTGGGATACCACAGTTCATGTTGGTCTAACTTTCTGCCAACTCAAGAATGGGTGGAGGGCACCAACTTCCATTCAGGAAACAGTGTCAATAACAGATAATGATTCTAATCATAGCTGTCTTTCCTAGTCTGGTGCATTCTAGGAATGTTTGGACGATAAAAGTCAGAATCCCTAGTCAGCAATCTCTACAGATCTGAGAAAGATTGAGTTACATGTCTCAGGTGCAAATCTAAGCACTTATCTAGCATTAAAGGAACAATGGAGCAGAGCTACTTCAGGTCTTGTTTTAGTGAACTACTTGCTCTTATTGTTTGTAGAGATTACCTTCACATTCCATTCTGTGTTATATATACAGGTAGTCCTCATTTAGTGACTACTATTGAGATTAGCAACTTGGTCACTGAGTAGAAAAATCACACGACTATGACTGTGCTTATGGTTTACTTCTGTTTCCATTTTCCTCCACTCTTCCATCCTAACTCAAGGTGGCAAACATATCTAACACATCTTTCTCCTCCTATTTTCCCCACAACAACCCTCTGAGTTGAGTGGGGCTGAGAGAGAGTGAATGGTTCAAAAAATTCCATATTCTCTGTTTTCCTCATGTCTTCATTAAGTTTTTCTTCTGTTAAATTTACAGTTTAGCACATTAGGAAATCCCAAATTGTGCTTCTCTCAATAATCCAGGGTTGAAGAAACCATGTTTGGCACATGTCAAAGCAACTTGTGATTCCCAGGGCACAGCATGTATAAACATAACTTATTCAATCAACTCAATTTGATGGTGTTGCATGACACACATAATTATATATTTATGGTACATGATATATTTATCCAAGCAAAGCTATGCTCAGTATTCCCTGCTCCAATTCTTCCTGCACAAGGATTGTGAAACAGTTTGGATGGAGAGAGTGACTAATCCAAAATCATCCAGCGATATTCCATAGCTTAGGGTGAGCTGGAAATCAGGTTTCCTTGATGTTAAACCAGCAACCCCCATCATCACATCCTCCTGGCCCTTTGGCCATTTAGGACAAGGGCTGTCCTAAAATCATCCGGGAAACTGACCAAGCCTCTGTCTCTGCAATCATAAACCAACACCTTAATCGTTAAACATACAAAATGAGCCAGGTTAACGTAATGTAGCATTCAGGGAATCCATCGGTTGAAGGTCCAATGGATTGTGTAATCCTAAACAACAGAGTTCCTTCAGTAAAAGCAAAGGTCATTCAAGCATGGGAAAACATGTTACACATTTATTCATTTATTTAATTTCTATAGCCACCCATCTGAGTCAATGACAAAAATATTCAGATCAAATATGGGGCGGCGGGCGGGGCCCAGTTAGCAATAAAACCGAGAAATAGGGCCCTTAACACATTCAGCACCCCAGACATGGGAAGATAGGCAGCGTTTTAAGGGCCTCACAAAAGGCCAACAGGGTTGGGATGATTGTAATCACTGAAAGGAGGCTGTTCCACAGAGCAGGGGCCACTGCAGGAAAATCACGTCTTCTGGTCATTACCAGTAGACATTTTTTGGCTAACGGGATCTCCAGCACGTCCATTCTGCTTAACCTGGTTGGATGGATATAGATTCTTAGACAAAGGTCATCCCCCAGGTAGCCCAGTCCCAAGCCATATAGGCTTATAAGCCATATATATAGCACCTTGAATTGTACCTGGAAACATACTATCGCAGCTGATACAGAAGTGGTGTTACACGTGCATGTGTCTGGTACCATTTGCTACCCAAATAGCTGCATTCTGCACTAGTAAGGGCAAAGATTCCCCTTGTACATACGTGCTAGTTGTTTCCATCTCTAGGGGGCAGTGCTCATCTCCGCTACAAAGCCAAAGAGTGCGAAGACGTCTCCATGGTCATGTGGCCGGCATGACTAGCACGGAATGCTGTTACCTTCCCACCAAAGTGGTCTCTATTCTTCTACTTCCATTTTTACATGCTTCAAACTGCTAGGTTGGCAGAAGCTGGGACAAGTAACGGGAGCTCACTCCGTTACGCGGCGCCAGGGATTCAAACTGCCAACCTTTCTGATCGACAAGCTCAGAAGTTTCCAAATGGTCTTCAGGGATGGTCCATGTAGAGCTTGTTACAGTAGTCTAACCTAGACGTTGCAAGGGCATGATACTCCGTAACTACTACGGGTAGTTTTCAACTTATAATCATTCATTTAATGACCTTTTGAAGTTATGACAGCGCTGAGAAAAAGTGACTTGCAATTGGTCCTCGCACTTGGAATTGCTGTAGCATCCCTATAGTCACACGATCAAAACTTGTGTGCTTGACAAAATGTGGATGCTTTATTGCTCAGTTATTTCTGTAAATTAATGGATAATAATTTGCCAGGATTATTTCTTAGTCCTGCTTATAGGGAGGTGTCTGTAAACACGTACACAATATCTTATGTCACTGGTGATAGTAACAAGCCAGTGGTTTACCTCCTTTTCAATTGCCTTTAATTGTTTCAAGCATCAGGGTCTTCCCCAATGATTCTCGCCTCAGCCCATAATAGCTTTATTCTTAGTGCTTCCAGTCATCAACCTGTTCTTTCTACATCTATAATGAATTATTAATTCTTGTGGTTCAGGGAGCAGCATCCACACCCAGCCAGAATGGTAATGTGAAACACAAGATGATGTTATCACAGAAATGCCAATCTTATACATTTGCGTAACGATTTCTGATACAATTTTCTATAGCTCCACATTGGTGCAGTTTTCATCCCATGTTACTATAAGGAAAACATCAGCCTTGACAATATGTTGCCAATGTGGTGCCTCTGCACTTCATTATTGTGTCTGGATTGCCTCTGATTTTTTTCCAAACATCAGGATGTTCCCTAAATGACTCATGCCTCCCCATTATGCACCCAAAATATTTAAGATTGATGTTTTATATTAATGCTTCCAACTATTTTATCTTGTATTGAATGACTACTGGTCTAAGATATTCTCAACAATTTTGTCAATTCAAATACATCATTTTTTTATTCAGCCAGATAGTCCAGCATTTACAGGAATATATTAACACTGAGAGTGTGAGATGGAGGGGTGATTTTTTTTTTCCAGATTTTGTTTTATTGTATTTTATTAATTTGATTTTTTGTTAGTTTTTATTGTTATTTATTTTTATTTTAAATATGGTTTTACATTGTGTAAGACAATGTCGAGTTGCCATGGGCAAATAGGTGGCAATATAAAATCAATAAATAAATACATCCAATAAAGAAATCCATAAATACATAACATTGGTCACAATTTTGGGTAGCAATTTATGTGAGTTCTAGTTCATTCCTAAGCATAAAAGCCAGCAGAGTGACTTTGGGCTAGTCTCTCTCTCTCTCTCTCTCTCACACACACACACACACCAACCTACCTCACAAGATTGTTGTTGTGGAGAAATAAGAAGGCAGGAGTTTTTACGCCATCTTGTATTCACTAAAAATAAAGGCAGGATAAAAATTTAATCAATAAATGGCCTTGTGATAATATCACAAGATTCAAGGGGAAAGCTGCATATGACAAACGTTTATTTTATTTATTTTGTCAAGCGATTATAAGATAACAGGTATAAGTATAACATAGTCATGAATACATGAAATGGATACATATAAGAAAAATAAAAAGAAACAATAGGACAGGGACGGTAGGCACGTTGGTGCGCTTATGCACACCCCCTACAAACCTCTTAGGAAAGGGGTGAGGTCAATAGTAGACAGTCTAAGGTTAAAGTTTTTGGGGTTTGGGGATGCATATATGTGGTTATTGGGCAAAATTATTGGGCAAAATATGAATTTACAGTATTTTGTAAAACGGCTAGTGAAATTATCATGTCACACACTATATTTAGATGTTAAAGTGTTGTCGTTATGAGTACCAACGCATGTCAAGTAAAACTTAAACAATGCATAAATTAACCCAATACTTAACTCATTAACTCAGTGTTTGTGTGTATACAGAGAGAGAGAGATTTAAATTAGTGATTAAAAAAAAGAAATAATTAGACAAAATACCATGTATCTACTTTACGCACCTCCCATCTTCCTGTAGGCGTGGCCTCCCGTCACCAAATCCCGCCCATCCCGGTTGAGCACTTTCCTCCAGGACTGTTGTGAGCCTTCTTTCCCCACCCTCCCGCATCAGCTTTCTCTATCTCTATTGGCGAGAGCAGCAGCCAATCACACAAACTGAAGCTCCCTCCTCCTCCGCGATGACCTTCCTCCTTCCCCTTGGTTTTCGCCTCGCTCCTCGTCCCCCTCCCACCTCCGCCTTTTTTTGAAACGGGCCGCACTGATTGGCCAAGACGAGGGCATAAGGGGCGTGTCTCGAAGGGACGAGTCTAGACGAGAGGAGACGACAGCGGCGATAGCAGCTGGAAGAGCAAACGCACCTGAAGGGAGGGGTGAGTGCGCATGTGCGATATGCAGTTGCTCCCCTTTCCTCCAAAATAAATAAATAAATAAATAAATAAGAGGGGGGGGCGGGTTGTCTGAGGGTTTCTCCCCTCTTTAGGGACAAGTTTGGGGGGGTGATATTAAGGCAAGTGGGAAGGGAAGTTTTTAAAGTCCTTCTCATTCTACTGAAATGGGGGACTTCAAGACGGCTGAGCTGTGCCTGGAGGGGAGAGGCATGCAACTTAAAAGCCAACCCCCTCCCCCGTCTTGATGTGGCAGTGGCTAATTTGTACTCCTTAAAGGGAAGGGAAACCTTCAGACTTATTTGGGACAGAGGAGAGAGAATAAAGGCTAATTTCCCTGCTTCCAAAAGAGACTAGGGGTGAAAATAAAGGCTTAATTGCCCCCTTTTGACAAAGAGGGGGCTATAGAGGGATATCTCCTCCCCCTTGGATTGGAAGGGGGGCACAAATTATTTTTATCCCTCTCTTTAGAGGAGGAGGCCCTAGGAGGGGAAGAAATGCAAATATACCCGTTCTAATATGCGGGTGCTTTTAATTCAAATATTGCTTCTTCTGAAGGACGGAGAACTTTGAGTTTTTCCCTTCTTCAAATTTACCAGCAGAGAATAGTAATAGTCACTCCTGTCCCTTGAGAGGAAGGGAGTCCAGGCTGAAGGGGAGTTGCTCCCCTCTTTTTCCTCCTTTTAAATTGAGTTGGGGGAGGGAGCTTGAACCTATTTGGTTTCCAAACTTGAGTGTTTTGCTGTATGTGTTGTTGAAAGTTGACCTTTGTGTCTGCAACAAGCCACACTTTCCTTATGCCCCACATTCCTATCCAGGATAGAGAAGGGAAGCCCTTTCAACCTTATATATATATATAAATTAGGGGGACAATTAACCTGTATCTTCTTTCACACATTCCCCCCCAAAATAAGGTAGAGAAGGGATGAACTTGTTGAACTGCCCTGCAATGGATAACTTTCCTTCTTAGTATACTTTATTTGAAAGGAGGGGGATGACAGATGTGTAAAACTGGGGTCCTTCCCACCTCTTTCCCTTCTTAATGGGGTTTTGTTTGGGGGTTAAGAATTAAAAGATTTTATATTGTTTTGTTTCTTTGGCATTAAAGCAGTGGAGGCTGCAGGTTAGCTCCTCCCTTTGTTGAACGATAGAGGGTTGAAAAGCTTTAATCTGATTGCATTCATTTGAAAAGGAGATGAAGGATCAAAGTTTAATTCCCCATTCCTTGTGGTGGGGAAAAGCTTACTGTTAACTGACCTCTTGTTTAGAAGAACAGCTGGAAGATTGAGCCGGGGAAAAAATGGTTAATCTCCCTGTCATTTTTTTTAGGCACTCGCTCCAAATATTTGAGGTTAAGGAAAGTACCCCAATCCCTAAATAGAGAGATCTGTAATAATAAGACTCTGTATAGCATTTTCCCCATAGTTTTAAGAAAGTGATTGTTGAGGTACATAAAATTAAAACAACTGCTTTTGCAAGTTTTGGTGGAATCATATTATATTGGCTTTCTTGTTCAGTGTTGCAATTCAACACTCATAAAATCCTTATTAGTATACAACCTCAGTTGAGAATTAGTTTATCCTTTGGTAGTATTTTGTGAACAGAGCTATTCTATTTGTAGCTTCCTTTCTCTGTTTTTTAACCCTCAGAAGCGTTCAGTATTTCATTTTTTAATCAATCATCTGAAGTTAGGATGAATAAGAGTAGCTAGCTTGATCAGTGAGCTTCAGTGGTGACTACTCTAATCTTTACATCATGTTGACTCTTATGGAAATTATTTTTAATGAATTATTTTCATGAATGATTGGAAGAAGCAAGTAGTGAATAAAGTTGTCCAGTTATCTCAGAATAGCGACGAAGAGGTTTGAGAGTCTCCTAAACTTGTTGATAAGGGAATCTTGACTTGACAAACCAAGAAATATTTGGTTGGGGTAGAAGCCTAGAGATTTGGAATAAGTTGTTTTTTTCTCTTCCCTCTATTTCTCTCCCCTTCCCTCTATCCATGTGAAACTGTTTGAATTTTCTGTTTTTAAGGCAGGAAAAGGTACCATGTATTCAATTGGTGAAACATCGGTTTTATTTGTAAAGGTTTGCTCTTAGCAACACTGGTATCCTCCCTTCCCTCTGTCAAAAATCAAATTGACATGGATCGGAGCCTGCAGCACTGGAATAGAAAGACCAATGGTTATTCAGTGAAAATTGGTTTTGGCTGCTTAAAAGAACGGCAAAGAATACATGAATGAATACAGTAGCACCAGCCCTGGTGTTCTTTGTAAAACTTTCTTTTAGCTAGGGCCGTTAGCTCTCATTGGTGGAGCTGAGAGTTATTGCTAGCCATAAAAGACAGCTATATGAGTGCCACTTGTATGAAGTACCTTCCTGCATTTCAGAAAAGGGGTTAGTGTACAATGGAGCTTGGTAATACGGGACTGCAACAAATCAAATTTAGGGAAAATTTCCTCCTTTTCCCCGCCACCACTCCAGGCTATCTTGCATTAGCCTAGACATTTTTTCTTCTTTTCTGTCAGAGTGACAGGGGTGCGTATGTATGTATTTTCTTAAGGATAAAGAAGATAAGGAGTGCTGTTCCCTCTATTGTTGGAGATAAAGCTGGTGGCTGAATCAGCCAATGAAGCTCTGGTGTTATGGCTTTGACTTTAGTTGGCATATGATAAAAGTGGAACATGCTAGATTAATGCGATTAAGCAAATGCAATTTTATTTTCTGAAGAGATCCTTGAGTTTAATTCTCAGATTGTGGTTGGTGACTTGGCTGTCAAGGAAGTCTTCATGACTGACATTGATATAGCCTCAGTGAAGAATGCTGAAAATTGTATGTTTTAATTAGCTAAAGAAGTTTAAGTCCTTCTGGGAAACTTTTTGTTGTGTGCATTTGGGTTGCATGCTTTAGATTTTCAATACTGAGAATCTGCAGATGTTTTAAAAATTATTCCTACATGGGTAACATCCTGAAACATTGTTTTCCTTTTGCACAGTACTTTAGATCTCTCCCCCAATTGTATTCATAGAAACAGGTTATCTTAAAGGCTTTGATTTTCACAGAGGTCGGGGGGTTAATCAGACTAAACACTTGGTCTTCTTGTATTGTTCATGGTGTAATGGGACAAACGAAGAGCAAAATATGGTTAGCTGCACGATGATGAACGCCATTTTTGAGCAGCGTTTTGAATTAATTTGCCTTTTGCATCTGAATTATGAATTCACTTGTTGAGCCACATTGCAACTTTCCACTAATTCTACTACAGGTAGTCCTCGACTTACCACAGTTCATTTAGTGACCATTCAAAGTTGCAATCACACTGAAAAAAGTGACTTGTGACCATTTTTCACTCTTACGACTGTTGCAGCATCCCCGTGGCCATGTGATCAAAATTCAGATGCTTGGCAACTGGCTCACATGAGGTCATGACGTCTTTTGCAAATTTCTGATAAGCCAAGTCAATGGGGAAACCAGATTCTCTTCACAACCATGTTCCTAACTTAACAATTGCAGTGATACACTTAACAACTGTGGCAAGAAAGGTGGTAAAATGGGACAAAAATCATTTAACAAATGTTTCATTAGAAGCGTTTGGCTCAATTGTGGTCATATGTCAAGGACTACCTGTATTGCTCCGTGTAGGAAATCCAGATCTTGAGCATATCGAGCCAATTTCTATCCAGTCAGGAAAGAAAAGAAAATCATTTCTCCTAATAATTTGCTCACTGATCATTGCCAATCGATTTGATGTACAGGATTGCTTATCTTCTCTATCCTTAAGAAAATGCATACATGCACACCCCTGTCACTCTCTGTGACAGAAAAGAAGAAGAATGTCTAGGCCAATGCAAGATAGCCTGGAAAGGTACGGGAGAAAGGAGGACATTTTCCCTAAATTTGATTTGTTGCAGTCCCATATTCATGTTCTGGCCTTGATTTATGACTACCATTGAGCCAAACATTTCTGTTGCCAAGTGAGAAAGCTGTTAAGTGAATTTTGCCCCATTTTCTTGCCACAGTTCTTAAGTGAATCACTGCAGTAGTAAAGTTAGCCACACGGTTGTTAAGTGAATCTGTCTTCCTCATTAAGTTTGCTTGTCAGAAGGTCGCAAAAAGGGATCGCATGACCTTGGGACACTGCAGCCGTCGTTAATATGTGTCAGTTGCCAAGTGTCTGAATTTTGATCACGTGGCCATGGAGATGTTGCAATGGTCATGTGAAAAACAGTCATAAGTCACCTTTTTCAGTTCCTTTCTAACTTTGAATGGTCACTAAATTACCTGTGGTAAGTCGAGGACTTCCTGTACTGTCTAGTTTTCCAATTGTAAACCGGAGTGATGAAAAGTGGATTCTGATAATACCCAGAGGGCATAAGTTGCACTTTTGGTGAACTGACTGACAAGAACTATATAGGAATTTACACTGATCTTTTCTGGGAATTGCAACTATTGGAAATGCTTACTTTCCCCTTCTTTTGTTCAATCTCAGTTTTCTTTATTAATATGTTGACTTCTCTGGTTGAGACATTGATTTCGTTACCATACCAAGTTAATTTTTGTGTGTGTGTTCCTGATTTAAGGAAGGGTTATTTATCCTTTCTGTTTTCTAGGTGGACTGCTCTGTGTCATTTAATTGCTCCCAGTTGTTGATTCTCTGGGAGCGATTTCTACATATCTCTTCCCAAAACTTTCAAAAGATTTGAAAGTCAGACAAGTTTATGTAGATGTTGTGGAAGCAAAGGTTATTTCCACACTGAGAGATGAAACGGGAAAAAGTTTTCTCAACTAGCAGAAATTGGGAAAGAGATGCCAACTGGAGCATTTAGCTGCTGGACACTCTGCAAGAATTCCAGCATGTAAGGAAAAAAAAAAAGTACAGATCGTGTTGAATATTTACCAGAATATGTAACTAATGTTGAAAATAAGCTTGCAAAAATTACTCATCCACAGAAATATTTACCAGCTAAAGGTTGCATCTCCTTCTA